TACAAGAGGTGGTCCACAAGAGAGTGTATACCAGCAGTGATACAAGAGGTGGTCCACAAGAGTGTATACCAGCAGTGATACAAGAGGTGGTCCACAAGAGAGTGTATACCAGCAGTGATACAAGAGGTGGTCCACAAGAGTGTGTATACCAACAGTGATGCAAGAGGTGGTCCACAAGAGTGTATACCAGCAGTGATACAAGAGGTGGCCCACAAGAGTATACCAGCAGTGATACAAGAGGTGGTCCACAAGAGTATACCAACAGTGATACAAGAGGTTGCCCACAAGAGTATACCAACAGTGATACAAGAGGTGGCCCACAAGAGTATACCAACAGTGATACAAGAGGTGGCCCACAAGAGTATACCAACAGTGATACAAGAGGTGGTCCACAAGAGGGAGTATACCAGCAGTGATACAAGAGGTGGCCCACAAGAGTATACCAACAGTGATACAAGAGGTGGCCCACAAGAGGGAGTATACCAGCAGTGATACAAGAGGTGGTCCACAAGAGGGAGTATACAAAGCAATATACACCAGGAGAGTGTAAGGGGGGGGAGGGAGGTGGTGGGCAAGATGAGGAAACAGGAACAAGTACGGAACTTGTCGCGTGGTGAGTCACCGTAGCTGGTGATCCGGGTCCTGGCGTTCACCAACTACACTCAAGTAACGCAGCATTAACCTTACGGCCGCCCAAGTAACACACAGCGTTAACCTTACGGCCGCCCAAGTAACACACAGCGTTAACCTTACGGCCGCCCAAGTAACACACAGCGTTAACCTTACGGCCGCCCAAGTAACACACAGCGTTAACCTTACGGCCGCTCAAGTAACACACAGCGTTAATCTTACGGCCGCTCAAGTAACACACAGCGTTAACCTTACGGCCGCCCAAGTAACACACAGCATTAACCTTACGGCCGCTCAAGTAACGCAGTATTAACCTTACGGCCGCCCAAGTAACACACAGCGTTAACCTTACGGCCGCCCAAGTAACACACAGCATTAACCTTACGGCCGCTCAAGTAACACACAGCGTTAACCTTACGGCCACCCAAGTAACGCAGCGTTAACATTACGGCCGCCCAAGTAACAGACAGCGTTAACATTACGGCCGCCCAAGTAACACAGCGTTAACCTTACGGCCGCCCAAGTAACACACATCGTTAACCTTACGGCCGCCCAAGTAACGCAGCGTTAACCTTACGGCCGCCCAAGTAACGCAGCATTAATCTTACGGCCGCCCAAGTAACGCAGCGTTAACATTACGGCCGCCCAAGTAACAGACAGCGTTAATCTTACGGCCGCCCAAGTAACACACAGCGTTAATCTTACGGCCGCCCAAGTAACAGACAGCGTTAATCTTACGGCCGCCCAAGTAACGC